GTTGGCTAAAGAGGTGGCTCTTTTGATTTAGGAAGAAATGTCAATCTTTAAGAAGGAGCCGGGTGTGTCTGGCCTAGGGAAGAGAAGGGTGAGCAGTCTATGATATGATAGCAGTCTTCCAATACATGAGGGGTGTCACAATTGTGAGTCAGCTGCCAAGCATATCTCAGCTTTGGGTTATGGGATCCTGGGAATGCCACAATGGTTAAGTGTGGAAAACGGGCGTAAGTCACTTTTCTCAGTGTCAAACTTCAAATGGTCACTAAATACTTGAGGGGTTCAGTGAAGAAGATGGGGGTCAGTCTATTCTCCAAAGCCCCTGAGGGCAGGACAAGAAGCAACGGGTGGAAACCAGTCAACGAGAAGCGTTGCTGCAATGTCTACAAGAAAGAAAAAATGGTTACAGAATTATAGCTGTGAATTTGTACCAATTTTTAGAGATAGAACAATCTTTGGAAAATGATATTTACACACATACTTATTGGCTGTCCACTCATATAAACCAGGGAGTGGCACTAGCTGTTTGAGAGCATGTATGTTTTTATCCACTATTAATGTATTATAATGTTTTTATCCACTATTAATGTACGGGATGTTTTTATCCACTATTGATGCATTATAATGTGTCAGTATTATTTTTTAATGTATTGTAAATAGTGATGTCTGTTGCTAGTCTAAGACTGTAATAAAGTTATATTCTTCTTTTTCAATCAAGGAGAGAAGCAACCTGGAATTAAGGATGTCCCAAAAGTGCTTTTTCAAGAGGCAACTGGACTTTCTGGGTTGGTTTGTTTTTTTGAAGACATTTCATTTCTCACCCAAGAAGCTTTTTCAGCTCTCAGATTCAGAGCTGAAGAAGCTTCTTGGATGAGAAGCGAAACGTCTTCAAGGAAAAACCAGAAAGTCCAGTTGCCTCTTGAAAAAAAAAAAAAAAAACCATCTTTGGAGCAACCTGGAGATTCTCCAGAGAAAACTAGAACTTAAGGAATTTTTTTTCCTGAGAGCGAGAACAATTAATGAGTGGAAAGGCTTTCCTCCAGAAGTTGTAAATGCTCGAACACTGGAAGTTTTTAAGAAGAGATTGGGTAAGCATTTGTCTGAAATGGTAGAGGGTTTCCTGCCTGAGCAGGGGGTCGGACTAGATGACCTCAAAGGCCCCCTTTCAATTCTATTGTGATGCATAATTGGGGCTCCCCTCCTCCAGTTTGTGTGTATGAACATGCACACGTATCTTTGAGCCAGTTTTTGATTTCTGGCGGTTGTCTGGGCAAGTCCCTGCTGTTTTCTTGACCAGATTTCTGGGTGTGATTTGTCATTTCTTTTTGCCAGGACTGAAAAAGAATATAATAACTCATCCAAGGACACACAGTTTTATTACAAAAGCCGGGATTAAAATTCATAATCTTCCAGCGCTTTAGTCAACTACACTGATTTGATTTTAGTGATAATGTACACTTCTTAATGCAAATGATCCTGAGGTGGAATTCAGGGGGTGAATGACAAAACCAGGGAGGGGAAAAAGAATAGACACAAACAGTGTTAGGAAAGAGAGCTAAAGTTATTTATTCTGAGTCTTAGGCTCTCCAATGTCTTTTAGAGTCATTTCTCAATGCATTTGTGTGCGTTCTGAGATTGTGAGTCAGTAGGGTGCACTTCGGGGACACAATACAAGGCCTCCAATTTAAAACTCAGTTATCGGTGGCTTTATAATAAGTGATGGTTTAATTTTAGACCCTCAGGATTCTCGTTCATTTCTGGCCATCCCTCTCAGTGATAGCTCCATAAAGAGCTACTCTGCGTATTTTTTTTTGTTGTTGTTTTCTGACCAAGATTATGGAAAGTTTTCACTTGGAGTTCAGCTTAAACCTGGAGAAGAACAGCTGCCTAATTTGCAAAGGCAATTCTCTCTCCAAGAGCACCATCTTGAGACTTGAAGCTGTTCTACAAAAGATTCTCCAATAGTCACATGATGGAAATCATGACTCACCTTGTTGAACTGATAGGGATCTATTCATGGTACACCCAAACTGAAAATGCAGACAGGCAGGAATTTAGTCAATCTTCCAAAGAATCAGAGTCAAGCTGGGAGGGACCTTCTAATCTTCAACCTCAATGACCCCTACTACATATCCCCTTTTAGCCCGATGGACCAAGAACTGACAAATTGGTTCCCCCTTCGTGAACTGTTGAGGTTTACCTGTATAAAATGTGGCCAAAATACTGCAGTGTGAAGCAATAGAAAAAGAATGGAATAGAATAACAGAGTTGGAAGAGACCTTGGAGGTCTTCTAGTCCAACCCCCTGCTTAGGCAGGAAACCCTATACCATTTCAGACAAATAATTGCCCAATCTCTTCTTAAAAACTTCCAGTGTTTTTGAGTGCATTTACAACTTCTGGAGGCAAGTTGTTCCACTGATAATTGTTCTAGCATTAACACTTCACAGGATCTGGATGCTATCACTCTGTTGATGCAGCTCAGGATTGCATTGGCCTTTTTGGTGTCTGCAGCACATTTCTGGCTCATATTTAAGTGATTGTCCACTAGGACTCCAAGACCCATCTCACGGTTGCTACTGTTGAGCCAGGTACCTGTAGATTTGGGGTGTTTTCCCCGCTAAATGGAGGACATTTACTTTTCTCACCACTTGTCCTACCGACCACAAGCCAGGTGCTCCACCTCAAAACTGATAGATACCTTTTCTTTTAAGAAACCAAGAATGGCATGTTTTTAGGACATCATCCCAAAGTGTATTGATGGGGAGGACAAATTTATATCCTGACCTGCATGAATAATATACTCTGTTGAGGGTTATAATAAAATAAAAGATGTGAATGTGATGTTACATCATTCAGACAGAGGGAAGGGGAGGAGGAGTGTTGAAATCTGGGCTTTTATCTCCCAACAAGGAGAGGCAATGTGGCCTAGTGGTTGAGGCTGGAAATCAAGAGACTCTGAATTTAAGTCTCACCTTAGGTTTGAATGTCAGCTGGGTAACTTTGGGCCAGTCACTCTCTCTCTCTCTCTCTCTCTCAACCCAACTCACTTTGCAAAGTTGTTGTTATTATGAGGAAAATAGGAGGAAGAAGACATATTAGATATGTTCACCACTTTGTTGTTTATAAAAATAATACGGGTGGGATATAAATAGAGAAGTTTAATCAAAATTGTTGAGAATCCCTGTATCTTGTCCTTTTCACCGTTGAATACCCTACTTCCATATTTTTCTTTCAATTTTTAATACATTTCATCTTTCCAAGGTTAAAAATGAAACACAATGGGGGGGAAAAACACTTTTTTTTTTTTGGTTCCTATAGAACAAAGCTATTCATGTTTGCACTTTTAAAAAAATCTGTCCCAACGCAAAATGTTTTTTATGGAAATGCTCCCCCAGGTGTTCCTTTCTGGAATCCCCCCCTCAACTTGCTGCTTTCAATCAGGAGAAATTGAAAATGTTCTGAAATTGCAACTTTAAAGCAATACACACATCTCAGGGCCAAGGACATTTTTTTCAGCTCCAAATTTGCAAAACTGCAACCTCCAAAATGAGAAGTGAATATGTGCCAAGATTAATTCTCCAGAGCAACAAATAAAAATTAATGATTTTATTGGAACAGGAAGTAAACAGACAGACAGAAAATAAATATAGTATATGGTAACAGGTAAAGGTGATTATATTATTAGTAGAAGAGGACTTTGTTTTTTTTAAAAAAACCATAAAGGTGGCATAATTAAAAACTAAAAAAAGTCACTTTGATTCCTCACCCCAGAACAAAAAGTATGTTTATTAAGCCATGTTTGGTCCAGTGGTTAAGGAGGCCCTGAGTTCAAATCCCAGCTTCATCATGAAAGCCAACTGGGGGTGGATTTGAACCAGTCACTTGCTCTCTCTCTTTCTCTCTCTCTGCCCAACCCCCCTCATAGGATTGGGGTCCCCCCTTTTCCCCCCCCTCAAATATTTTTATTTTTATTTTTCAATATGAACATTCATATTTTGTGGGCATTGCATTGACAGGGTCAAATCCTTTTTAAGCAACAGTAACATGAATAATACAAATAAGTATATGTAATTCTAATCTTCCAACTTCCACAACTTCAACAAAGCTAATGTCTTTCCATAATCCATTTCTCCTTTTCCCATTAGTTCATTTAAGCATAAATAACATTTCTTTGCGCCTTGTATTTATAATCCCTAAACACTATTATTTAATATTTTTAAGAATTATTCATGTTTCCACCATAATGTCAATATTCCAATTGCCTAGGGTTAATAATAACGCTAAATATTACCAGAGAAAAAGCTACGTAGGATTAGGTTAACAACTTTTAGTGCCTTTTTGGCTATGTAGTTACAGTGGGCTCTAGCACTTAGGTCATTAGAGATGAGTACTCCAAGATCCTTGGCAGGGTTTGGATCATCAACAAAGTCTTGACTATTCAGCCTGTATTTTATTTTCTAATATTTTTTTTGCCAATATGTAAGACAGAGCATTTGTTTGTTGAGATTTGAAGTTGCCATTTGATTGACCATTCTGATACACAGTCGAGGTCCTTGGGAAGTTGGTTGCCTCGCCAGGGAGCCTTAAGCACCCGAGTGGTTTTGTATGTATGTATGTATGTATGTATGTATGTATGTATGTATTTATTTATTTATTTGATTTGATTTGTCAATTGTTTACAAGATAATAAGTATAAGTGTATACATAGTTATGAATACATGAAATGGGTACATATAAGATAAATAAAAGAAACTTCTCCCATTTCATAGAAAAATAAAAAGAGGGACGCTTCCTCCCCCCCAAAGCCCTCTCCGGAGAGAAAAGGCGCAGCAACCCGCGCCGCGCTCAGCATCCTCCGGACTGCCGCCAAAGAAGCCGCAATCGCCCCCCGCAGAACCAGCCCGCCGGCGCGCCCGCCACCCGTCCTCGCCCGACCCGGCTCTGCCATTCCGCGGAGGCCAAGGCGGAGCTCGGAGCGGCTCCTCCTCGGGGCCGGCCTGGCAAAGGCTCTTCTTCTTCCGTGACTCGGGCAGCCGTGAGCAGAGCCAACCCGGAGGAGAATGGCATCCCGCTCGGCGTCCGCCGCTCGGTCTCAAAACCCGGCCACCTACTTCCGAAGGAGCCGGCCGTTTTTCGTGGCGGTGATCGCGGGCGCGATGCTCTACTACGGGGTAAGGAGGGGAAACAGAGAGAGAGAGAGGGAGAGGGAGAAAAGAGAGAGACAGAAAGAGAGAAAAGAGAGACACAGAGAGGGAGAAAAGAGAGACACAGAGAGGGAGAGAGAGAAAGAGAAAAGAGAGAAGAACAAAGAGAGAGAGAGAGACAGAAAGAGAAGGGGGGAGGGAGAGAGGGAGAGAGAGAAAAAGAAGGAAGAGAGAGGCAGACAGAGACAGAAAGCGAAAAGAGAGAAGACAAAAGAGTCAGAGAGAGAGGGAGAGATAGAAAGAGAAAAGAGAGAAGAGCAAAAAGAGAGAGAGACAGAAAGAGAAGGGGGAGGGAGAGAGGGAGAAAAAGGAAAAAAGAAAGAAAGAGACAGACAGAGACAGAAAGAGAAAAGAGAGAAGACAGAAAAGAGACCGAGAGAGAGGGGGAGAGA